AAGACCTTCAGCCCTTTCAGGATGGTGGTTCCAACCAGAAGAACGAGATGGCTGGGGCACCCACGCAGGCCAAACCTACAAAACCTAGACCCTTAATGCCGCACCCTCCTTAAGACCTTCAGCCCCTTAATGCCGCACCCTCCTTAAGACCTTCAGCCCTTTCAGGATGGTGGTTCCAACCAGAAGAACGAGATGGCTCGTGCATCCAAGCAGGCCAAACCTATAAAACTCGCACCCGTAAGCCAGACCCTCAATGCCGCACACTCCTTAAGACTTTCAGCCCCGTCAGGATGGTGGTTCCAAGCAGAACGACGAGATGGCTGGGGCATCCAAGCAGGCCAAACCTATAAAACTAACATCCTCAAGCCCGACCCTTAAGGCCGTGCACTCCTTGAGACCTCCAGCCCTGTCAGGATGGTGGTTCCGACCAGAAGAACGAGATGGCTGGGGCACACGAGGCCCAACCCTAAACCCGCAAGGCCCTAGAATCCTTAAGACCCCGAGCCCTTTGATCCACGAACCCCTAATTAAGGCCTTAATCCTTTAGCATCCCAACCCTTCCAGGATGGTGGTTCCAAGCAGAAGAAGAGCACGGCTGGGGTATGCCAGGAGGCCATGCTTCAATTTTCCCGACCCAGTAAAGCCTCACAACCCTCAAGCCTTAAGCCCCCGAGTCCTTTCAGGATGGATAGCCACCAGAAGTCCCACGAGCCTGTAAGGCCTTATAATCCTTAAGGCCCAAAACCCGAATCCCGAAGCAATCCTGTATAAGCAATTAGAGCCCCACAATCCTAAGCCCTAAGCAACCCTACGCACCAGCAACTTTGCAGACGAGGCGGGCGGCATCCGGATCCCTGCAAAGCCGAAGGAGGACCTCACGCCGAGCCTCGCAAGGGCTTTGAAGATGTATGCGGCCGAACAGAACATGGACATCCAGGAGGTCACGGCACAAATGGTGAAAAGCTCTCCGGAAGGCCTCGACCACTACGCTTGCAAGGGCTTAGACACTTCGGCACGAGGTGCCGCAGGACAAGCTCTGAATCGAGCTCTGGACAAGTCCCCGGACGTGAAGCATGACATCTACAAGTGGCTTACAGAGGACTTAAAAAAAAATTCAGGACCACATGGGCCATCGAGCGAAGCTTTGAAAAAGTCATCAAACAACGAGTCCGAACGGTGAGGAGTCTTGGCTATCTTGTTCCAGAATGAACTTATTTGAGGTTATCTTTTATTCATAAAGTTTTGGGGCTTCTCTTGAACTTCTAACTATCTTTCTAAACCCTAAACCCTAAACCCTAAACCCTAAACCCTAAACCCTAAACTCAGCTCAGGAACATCACCCGCCAGAAGGAATTGGGGTCATGGAAATCACACCTACAATTGTGTGTGTTCTTTGGCGGCTCTTCGGAGCCGGAGGCGATTCGGCAAGCGGACAACTATGTGGCGATGTGTCGTCAGTTTGGGGTGCCTTGGTCACAAAAGGAATCTCTGTCTGGTTGTGTGACTTGTGTGGTTTGCTGCTTTCATGGTATCCTGTGTTTCATCTTTGTCGCCCCTGTGATCAGGAGGTGTTCACCGAGTGGAATGTGTGGACGAAGGCTTGGAATTTTCTCCTGGTGGAGAAGTTGAGCAGCAGCACTCAGGAGGAAGAGTGGAAGGAGATCGCCTCGCAGTGCGACTGCAGCCCCACCTACGAGACCGAAGCCTATCAACTGAAAGCCCGCCGCAAGTTTGCTGCCGCCAAGGGTCTCCCGTTTGACAAGGTGACTTTGAAGCAGGTCGAGGAGTCCGACCTCGGCCTGCAGGGCTACGCCGAGATGATCATCACCGTGCCGGGGATCGAAGTGGTCGACGACGACACGGAGGCGAAGACCAAGACCGCTGCCGCCTCCCGCAAATCGAGCAAGCGAAAGGAGAAAGGGAACGACGAGGCTGAGAAGGACACCGGCAACCAGCAGGACTCCAAGAAGACGAAGATCGAGACCGAGAAGCCCGAGCAGGACAACAAGAAGACGAAGAAGCCGAAAGCCAAGGCGAAGCCGGAGGGCATTCTCAAGGAGGCAGAGACCACCGCCAGGTCCATCGTGTTGCAGATCCAACGGGCACAGCAGACGACAGAGCGACTGCAAGAGGCTTTGAAGCAGGAGCCATGGGCCGTGCCGCTGCTGGGGGAGTTCGAAAGCCTGCAGACGGCGATGAAGCTGCAGCTCAGCCCCACAGGAGGCGAGGACATCGCCGAGTTTGTGAACGAGCTCAAGCTTTGTGTGTTCTCTGGAGCAGGTGCCAGCAGCACGAAGGCATTGAAGAAGGAGTACAAGGACAACTATGTTTCGATGCTCTGCTTGTTCGCCGATCGGTGCAAAGGTACGGCCCAGCAGCTACTTGGCCATTTTCATTTGTTGTTCTCTTTGTCGTTTGTTTGTTTGTGGCCCTTGTATCAGTCTTCGCTCTTTCACCTAAGGATGCTCGACCTCGCCTGCAAGATGGATAACATGTTCAAGGCCGGTTCCGTGGACGCCGACTCCAACCCCAAGGGTGGCAGGAGGTCAGGTGGGAAGAAGAGGGCCCGAGCCGATGGCTCCCAGTGACTCGCGACTTCGTCAGTGTGCAAGTTTTCTCCATGGACATTGAGTAGGATCCGCATGCAGAGCCGTCGATTCGGTGCTGATACGCGGTCATGTGCAGCCGTGATCTAGATGCTACTTTAGCACAGCTGTAACACCGGATATCTTCTGGGGTTCCTTTAAATACTTTAAGATTGACAACATGTTCGGGGCTATCCTAAAACACCAAAACCCTTACAACCCTAGCTTTTAAACCCCAAATCCGAAAACCCCAAAATCCAAAGCGGTTCCTTTAATGCTTTCCTACTGTTTGTAATCGTTCAGTCAACATTAGAAACAAGTCATGGTTGCACACAATGCCATCTGTCTTTCAATGTGAAGCTGTGGGTCTCGTGGCCCGGGAGGGGAAGACCCTGGGCCCGATATCCGAGCCATCCAGGACGCTTCAAAAAACAATGCAGTGTCGACAAAGCTTGGGCACGCCTGACTTCCACTGCCAGTGCTTCAGAGCTACTTTAGAAGCCCAGAACCCTCAACTCCTGAAGCTTTAACCCCGAAGCTCACCGCCCCCTCCCTGCCTCAGCCATGCCATAGGCCGAAGTGCACAATGGAAGCCTCCTGAGACGAGTTTCTGAGGTTCTTCAGGAGCGAGCATGCAGCATGGGATGTTTCAGGACAGCTGCTCACGCTTGTTTGTGTTCATGCTGGAAGCTGCATGTTGCATCAACAAACATAGAAACCCCAAAACCCTAAACCCTAAACTCCTAAACTCCTAAACCCAACTCGGCATAGAAACCCCTAGACCCTAAACCCTAAGCCCGAAGCCCTAAACCCTAAACCCCTAAACCCCTAAGTGGCAGGCCTAGTCCTAGTCAAGAAATTTGTAGCTGCTTGGTGCCATGCGAAAGCGAGCAGTGGCAGAATTGCATGGAGATGGGGCTGATGCCGGCCCCACAAGTTCGCAGGTTGAAGCTGGAAAACGACTTCGCATGTTTCTCTTGGACCGATTCTGTATGGGGTCTCTTCCAGGAAGTGATGTAGCTGAACTTTGTCATCATATTACAGAGGCCGGGGCCACTGGAGTGTCGTCATGGGCATTGCATCCGGATCAAGCTGGTCGCCACGGGCACGAGCACATACAGCTTCACGCTGGGAAAGAGTATCCCGAGCCAGACTTGCATCATGTCGAGGTTCCTCTTTTCGAGAAGAGACAATCCAGGAGAGTGTCGGAGCCAATCCCGATGATGCTGCCCTCAACCCTTTTGAAGAAGTACGTATTCCGCCCCGAGGTGCTAGCAAAGGATGAACCGAATTTCCGCAAAATGGTCCAAGGTTTGCCGAGCTATGATAACCATCCTGTTGTTCGCAGGGCCCGTGC